TATCACCATAATATTTCCAATTGGGTGGTCTTTTTAAATTTAATCTGTTTTGCACCCATTTGGCCCTTTTTAGCTGAAAATTCATTTCTTTCTTCCTCTCTGGAAATTGTTTCTGTTATTTCTTTGAAATTTCTTTCCTGCCATTTTCTCTGATTTAGCATGTTCAGGAAATCTGTCAGGCAGATGGCAGCCTCCTAGGACAATTTCCTTTAGTTATCTTTCCCCCCCTCATGTATTTTATTTATCTTCTTAACTTAATGCTTTGGGAAATATCTTAGTGTTATCTTCCAAACCTTCTATTAAAATTTTAAAAAGCAATTTTGGCTATTAACCAAAAATACTTTGTAAGACCTCTTTTTTGTTTAATCGCACCAGGCTTTTGTTTCATGAGTGCACTGGTCAAATATCTCTGAGGATAACAATTTTTAAATGTTTCTTCTGTTGACAGAATTGTGTTCCTTGTGCCCTTTTCTGTTACTTTATCTAGTTCCTTCCCATTTATACTGCTGTAATTCTTCCTGTCTGGTAATTCTTGGTTGTTTTTTCATAAACGATCATGAAGATCTGAGCTGATTTTTCTAGATAGCCGATGTGGTTTTTTCCTCTTCTATTTGTGATGTGTATTTGTTTCCCTCCTAGGTCAGCATTAAGTTTCCCTGGGCTGTTGGTTAAATTTCTTCAGAGGTGAGATCCCAGTTTTATGCCTGCATGGAATCACTAGGCTGATTTTGCTGGCAGAGGGAAATGGTGAATTGCAAGCACCAACTAATAGAGTTCTTGTGCCTCCTCACGCTGCACCCGCCAGCCCCAGATCCAGATAATGCCTGAAAAGTCCATTCGCAATTCTGCTGCATATTTGTCTTGAAATTGCTTTGGGCTGCAGATTCTTTTTTTTTTTTCCCCGTTTCATTTGTCAGCATGCATTCATTCACTTCCTGTTTCCCAGAAATTTATTTTCATTTCTTTGTCATTCTCCTCTCATTCCTAGGTATGTGATCTGTGCAGTAACACAAATTCCATGCTTAGCTGGGCCACGTGCTTGGTTTAATGCTCTGCTGTCACCATCTTGAAATGTTTAATAACTTTGGAACAAGGGGCCGTGACTTTTCCTTTTGCACTGGGCCCTGCAAATTCTGTAGCCAGTCCTGCATGCAAAAGTTAATATTTATTAGAGCTTAAATCGCTTCCACAGCTTCACTGCCAAGTGCTCTGTGCTTAAGTACAGTCTCCGCTGTAATGCTTCCCATTGGGAGAAATGTACTACCCCCATCCCCAGCCCACAGAGCAGACCAATCAAAGATAGAGTATGGAAGATGCTGGTCCACCTGAGGCACACCAGATTATGACAATTAAAGTAAATTAAGTAAATTTACATAAATTATTGCATGTATCATTAGTTTTAAAAATGCCTTTTTATTCTCCAAGCTGTATATAAATTTACAGTTAGGTACCAATTTGAAATTTGAAAAGCAAATTTTTCATCAGATATCCAATAGCTATCAGATCATTTTTCTTCCAATAACTTCCCTCTTTAAATTGATAGCCATGGGGTGATCTGTGGTCCCAATAAGTAAAAAGTTTTTTTCCATTATTTTTGATGCTGTTGTGTTATCTCTAAGTTTTTACTAAACTGACAGAAATTACATTAAAACATTTTTCTAGGTCTTATAACAGTGTCAATCTTTTTAAATAACTTTGATAGGTCTATGAAAATAGTTTATAATAATAAGTTGACATATTTAATAAGTCATATTTCATAAGTTCATACCTAGTCCTTCAGGCTGAATGGGAGGCACACTCTTGGGTGGTTGCCAAGGTTAAAATCATAGCTCCGTCACTCAAGTTTTATGTAAGTTTTCATACCTCATTTTTCTCAACTGTAAAATGGGGGTGATGGTTCTTAGTATTCTAATTCAGTGAGTGATATATGAGAATAACACCTGACATAGGGTAAATGTTACATAGATATTAGTTCTAATTTTTCTTGATACAATTAATATTGTTAGTATTCCCTTGGTAAGTGGGTGACAGATTTTTAACAAATTCCGTCCATTAAATGGGGTTAAATGTAATAGAAAATTATGACAACTAGAACCCATATCCTGGGCATCTCCTAGCCCCAAACTGTCATTGGCCCCAACCATCCCCTAGGGCATTCTTCACAAGCATGCCTGGAGTACCCAATATTCCAGAGAGAGCATGTGGTGGCCTCTTGCTGAGCTATCCCAAGGGTGACTCTTGCCAGTAATGGCTAGACTTACCCTTGAAAACTAAAAGGAATGAGATTTGTTCTTCCTGCTAAGGTCCAGTTGTTTAGGGAGACAGATCATCAAAAGGGAGAGAGATCAGGTGGTAGATGGAAGGCTGGCTCTCCCCAAACCTGGATTCCCAGACTATAAGCAGGGAGGGATAGGTATTCCCAGAAGAAGTGAACCAGGAGTCCTAGTAAAGCCACCTTCTATGCCAAGCATTAGCCCTTTGGTTGCTGGATCACGGGGAGGCTGGAGGGACAGGTGGTGTTGGAGTTTGTCTCTTGTCCCCACCCTACTCTTCTCAAATTGATGTCTAGAATTCCCATTCTCACCTGGAATGGGATGGGCTTAAAAGGTGATCATGAGACTTTCTCAGTTCAGAATATGATCAGTTGTGAACAGAGTAATTTACTTTTCTTTACATTTGTGCTTCTTTGTATTCCTTCAGACCCACATGGACTATAATTTTCCATTATCTTCCAAGTAAGACTTCCCCTCACCCACCCCCTCAAACACATTCATTTTACATTATAGTTTTTGGATTCCACTTAGGGCCTGAAAGCAGCATTTTGGTGTATCTCAATATTTAACAACCAGGACGTCTGTACCAGTGTGAACTAGTTGATCGTTAGCTCTGTACAGGGGTGATCGCTCAGAATGAAGCTTCATGAAGATGCAATTTGGGGGCAAGGAAGTTATCACTTAGCCATTAGATCTGGGCAGCTGGCTTAATATAAATTTCATCAGATAAGGAAATTGAGAATTTTGCCTCGAGAAACAAGACAAGATGGCCCTAGGAAATGGATTTTTTGAAGTAGGAAGACATCAGTTGATGTATGGCTGTCATGTCCCCCACTTTATCCTTGGTGTGCTTACTGCATGTTACATTGGAAATGTTAAATAAACATGTATAAATGAGTGAATTAAATTAAAGCAGAACCAGAGGAAATGAGATGGGTTTTATTAGTGAGAGATGACATGAACTAAAAATCAAAAAAACCCTGAAGATTCCACTAAGAAAGAAAAAAAACCATTAGAACTAATAAATGAATTTGGTAAAGTAGCAGGATACGAAATCAACATATAGAAATCAGTTGCATTTCTCCTCACTAACAACAAATTATCTGAAAGAGAAATTAAAAAGCAATCCCAATTATAATTGCATCAAAAACAATAAAATACTTAGGAATAAATGTAACTAACTGAAAACTGTAAGACACTGATGAAAGAGATTGAAGAAGACACAGATAAATGGAAAGATATCACAGGTTCTTAGATTGGAAGACTTAATGTTGTGAAAATACATGTATTACCCAAAGCAATCTAGAGATTCAAAGCAATCCCAATAAAAATTCCAACGGTATTTTTCATAAAATTACAAAAACAATCCCCAAAATAGTTTGAAACCAGAAAAGATTCTGCATAGCCAAAGCAATTCTGATAAAAAAAGGAGCAAAGCTGGGGGCATCACACTTCCTGAGTTCAAGCTAGATTACAAAGCCATTGTAATCAAAACAGTATGGTGTTGGCATAAAAACAGGCACATAGATCCGTGGAACACAACAGAACCCAGATATAAACCCTCATGTATATGGGCAACTATTTTTTGACAAGGGTACCAAAAACACACAATGGGGAAAGGACAGTCTCTTCAATAAATGGTACTAGGAAAACTGGAATAGCCACATGCAAAAGAATGAAACTGGACCCCTATTTTATACTACTCACAAATATTAACTCAAAATGGATCAGAGATTTAAATGTATGACCTGAAACTGTAAAAATGCTACAAGAAAATACAAGGGGAAAAGGTCCTTAACATCAGCCTTAGCAATGATTTCTTGGTTAAGTCACCAAAAGCACAGGCAACAAAAACTAAAACAAGTAAGATCACATTAAACTAAAGAGCTTCTGCACAACAAAGGAAACCATCAATAAATTGAAAAGACAACCTCCAGAATGGGAGAAATTACTTTTTTCCTGTTTTAGGTTTTCCAATTTAAAAAATACATTATAATATTGACTATGCTTTCTTGAAATTTGTATATATACCTCCTGGATATTCTCATATGCCTCCTAGGAAAGTGCATCTCTCTACTGAAATTGACTCTTGTTGATACCATTACTCTAATGATACAATCTGAGATCAAATCTTCTTTTACTCTTTGTCAGCTGCATTCATTAATCTTGCCTTCAGATGAAATTCCTGTCATTTCAAACTTTCTCCATTTCCTGTACCTTGGTGATTCATTTTTAGGTAAAAGAGCAAAATATCGTATCTCCCCCCATGAAATTTCATCTTGAGTTTTTCCCATTGCTCTGGCTTGTCAGGACCCTGCGGGTTGGATGGTGCTTTCATCACATGCACCATTCTTTCCCAGAGGGAGTCAGCTATAAAGTTGATGTATCTACCCATTACACAGAATTAAAGAAAGCAGGAATATT